CATGAATTCCGATACTAATTCACACATCTCAGTTTTATACTCCACATCACAACTCAATAACCCGAATATTGAAACCCCCGATGAATTTGCCGACTCTGAACCATCTCCATCCAATAATTTTCCCACCAACCCCTCAATTTTTTCCCAACCCCCTTTTCAACCAATGACACCAAATAACCCTGTCCCCACCAATTCTACACCCTCTTATGCTTCCCAAGTCACTCCAACCTATTCTTCATATCATTCAGACCGATCATCCAATTCTCCAGATACCCCCCAAATCTCCCCAGAACTAGATAATTTTATTACATTACAACAACAACCCTACCACCTTGACACCCCCACCATAAACCAAATTTCATCCACAATAGATTCATCCAACCCTCCTACCCCTACACCCTCTTCAATTTATACCGAATCATTAGCACCATCATCCACATCTACTGAATCTTCACTCAGCACTAATAGAGCTTACCGCACTTTTAAAAGAAAGTTCCCCAACCATCCTTTCCCAGCAAAACCAGGAACAGCCCGTGAATATATAAATCACCCAAATCACACTAATACAAAAGAATTTTTAGCTATCACCTTACCCTCATTTCCACAATACACCTTAAACACCCCTCACGACACTAACGAGACACGTAACTTTGTAGACGAACACGTTTTAATGCCTACCCTTCCTTGGACCTCATATTATCATTTTACTAATCCCCTTTGCTTACCTTTATCTAACACTCACATCGATATAGAACGAAATAAGGACATACTATATCGACTCACTACACCACTAACACCTAGACAATTTACTTACATTGGATATAAAAAATCACTAAAAACACACACTGCACCCCGAGCAAATGAATATACACTAGAATATTACGATCATAACATCATCAGAGCTAACCAAGATCAATTCTTAGACGACGATCGCTTCGCTAACCCACAAATCACCGAGAAATTTTTCATTAAAACACCATATGTATTTACACTAAATATCTTCGATCGCAAGTTTGACCACATTATTTCAGAAGCACTAACAGACACACAAGCCTACGAAAGTTTTAAAGAACGCTTCCAAATATTTTCACTAACCTTTCATTTCCTTGCACCACATGAAAGAGATTTGCACTGCTCACACGATATTATGTTGCGCACTAAACAAACACACACATATACATATTATCGTTTCATCAAAAATCACTTTGACCTACACACTCCCTCCAGACAACCACACCATCGTTTTCAATTCATCAATTCCAAATACACATCACCATTCTTTCTTAACTTCACATATTGCATTAAAGATACTAACCTTCATGGTATTCTTCGAAATTATGATCCCATAACCCAAATGTATATCTTCTGCCCCATCGCCAAGACCCTCAACGCCGAAGAATCCCGACCCTTCCTTATCCCACACGAATTTGTACAACCTATAGAAATCCCCATTTTAGAATTCATCCACAACACTAAATTCAATCACAAATTATATAATCTAATCCAAAACACACCTTATGAGTTTGCAGTTGGCACTGAAGAACTAACCACCATTAAAGCACTTCAATTGCTTTGGCCACTGCTTCAAACTAAAAATATCATCCGCATCTTAGCTAAATTACTAACAACTTCAGATCTCATCCACGACATCTTCCCCCACGGTTTCTTCCCCGACGACTAACAGGTAAGTATGAACTATACATATTATTAACTAGTTATTAAAATTAGAAACTAACCATTCTTTATTCATGTCTTCTTTAGAATTTTAGCCTTCATCCAACGATCATCTGAAAAATTCACAAAAGAAAAATAAAAAATAGCAAACTTCTTCAAACACTGTTTAAAACTCTATTAAATTTTTGCACCAACAATTAAATAAATATAATACCAATGCAGTAATTTAATTTATAAATTTTTCCCCCACAAGCAGTAAATCTAATTATGATGAAAATTTGTAACTTAATCTTTCCCAATAAATAGCAGTAAAATTAAAAATTCTATGTAGTAAATTGATAAAACAAAAATGCAGTACTAACCTTTTGATATTTCCATTCATTCGCACAGAAATTCTATCCACACTCGCACAGCTCGCCCACGAAGAATTGTTTAAAATAATGAATTTCAGTTTCAAGCTTTCACACTCAACAACTCTAACACAAGATAACACGTTTCAAACTTTCCTTTAACCCGGTTGGAAAGGAATTATACACTAAACAACACTAACCAACGCAGCTTACTAAACACCACAAATCATAGAATAACAGCATGATTAAGAAAAGGAAACCAACGGTACCCAAACCGAATTAACCCAGTTTAAAACTGGATAATTTATTCTTTTGAAGACTATTATAAAGTCTAAGAAAGAAATAATAAAACACAAAAAAGTCGAAAGACAAACCCATACCAAAAACAATTTGATTTTTGAAAAAAGGACACAACCAACAAAACATAAGAAAAACCACAACAAACCCAACACAAAACGTTGTCACATAACAGGACCCCTCACAAAAACCGCATGCAATCATACTCCCACTCCTGGCCTAACCCACCAGAAGAGGACGTCCTGAGCATGCTCTATAGCCGGCCTAACCCACCGCGCTACATCCACGCTTTGTGACACACACTTCTATTTTTAATAAGAGCTACTCAAGGGTGAGTAACTCTTCAAAATAACTGAACTAAAACAAAAAGCTTTTGTGGAAACAACTAACTAAAATCATAATTAAAAAATATTAAACTAATAAAAGTTTTATAAAATGTAAATTACAATATGCAATACATAGATCAGAATACAACACCAAGGACGAACATCCAAAGACAAAACGACCCCACTACACTCGAAAAAGAATGGCCAACCACAATCAATATGCCGCCCACAATCACAACTCAAAGGATTTAGAGTACGACTTGACTTCGCAGAAAAGGACTTCATTGAACTAGACCAATGACCACCTCGATGTTCAAGTATACGTACAGATCCGAGTAACCAGGCATCCCCTCCACGCACAATCTCCACGCCATTCCCAGACAAGATCAAAACACAAAGAAGTTCACATCAATGAAACAGAAAAACCTGACATAGCCAACCATTCTGAAATCAGATTTGAGTTTGTTGCGAAAACCCAGTCGTTGTCATGAGATGACACAACGATCGAACCTGGAACTTCTCTAATAAGAAAACCCAGAAGAAATAAGATGTTCGCCAAATATCAACGTCCATCATCCATCCTTTGAATTGCAGAAAGACTATTCTAAAAAACTCTGTAAAACCCGGATGGGTGGAACCTGATCTAAACTACATTTTATGATTGGATAAATTAGATATTTTACCACTGTAAAGTATTTAATATTAACCAATCATGATCCATCTAACTAACAACCCACTTATTTGTAAGTGCTGAAATTACTTGTAATTTCAGCACCAGAGAGATTTGAATTTAACTTAGAAATTAGTTGACTCTCCA